GCTGCCACTGTTGCTATGGAATTCAGTGAATCACTGGCTGGGAATGAAGCTTTTCTAGCAAAACTGTTAAAGACTGAAGAGTTAACAAAGAAAAATCACTTGAAATCACAAATGAGACACGATTTTGACATTTGGAAGCAATGGTAAGAGAAGTGAAATTCCAGAAGAACTCTGCCTCAGTTGCCTATACGGAGATTCTCGGTTCTCTCAAAACTGCGAGGCACTCAGCAATGGGTGCTACTAATGTGTAGGCATCTCCTCGCTCTAGCCCAAAACTGTCTCCAGAAACAAGCACATGGATATATGCAACAAGTACTAAGTGAAAAACTCCATCGTTTAAGGGGTGTGTGTGTGTGTGTGTGTGTGTGTGTGTGTGTGTGTGTGTGTGTACGCGTGTTTTCACTCTTGTTTTGGCTCTTTGACTTTAAATATCCTAAGACTGACTACATGATAATGGCACATAGAAGCCATACAAAGGGTGGAAAGGCAGGCTTTCTGGGTCTACCCCAGCATTTCTGATTCAACAGCTTCTCAGCAGGCCTCAGAATTAGTGCCTGTGGGCAGTTCCCATATGCGGGTGCTGCTGCTGGAATGTGCTCCACACTCAGGACTATTGAATGGTATGAAGGGCAACAGGAGCCTCAAAACCCAGGCTGAAGGTAGAAGAGCAGGCCTGTTCTAAGTGTCTCACGTGTACTCTCAGGGTCTTAAGCCTTTAGCCTTCAACCTATGATAAGATTGTTTAAAAGATCTTTCTCACCTCCCTCCCCACCCCAAGACAGGATTTCTCTTTGTAGCCTTGGCTGTTCTGAATTCGCTCTGTAGACCAGGCTGCCCTGGGACTCGCAGAGATCCACCTGCCTTTGCCTCCTTTGCTGAGATTAACGGTGCACACTGCTGCCACCACCACCCAACTGACCTCTTTTATACTATGGCAAAACAAAGCTCAGAAAAGGTTCATAGAGAGTTAACCCACTACAAGCACATACATGTAGACTGTTCTTTTGTTCTATTTTTTTATGATTTTATCCACTTTACATCTTGACTGCAGCCCCCTCCATCCTCTCTTCCTTGTCCCACCTCCCACCCTCTTCCTCCATTCTCTCCCCCTTCTCCTCAGAAAAAAGGGAGAGCACCCCTACCTCCAGTAACAACCCACCTGGAAACACCAAGTCTCAGCAAGAATAAGCACACTGAGGCCAGCCCAGCTAGGGGGAAGTGATCCAAAAGAAGGCAACAGAGTCCATATCAGAGAGCCTCCACTCTGTATGCCAGTCACATGAAGACCTAGCTGCCCATCAGCTACATATGTGTAGGTCTAATCCATGCATGCTCTTTGGTTGGGGGTTCTGTCTCTGTGAGCCCCAATGGGCCTACGTTAGTTGACTCTGTTGCTCTTCTTGTGGAGCTCTTGTCCTCACTGGGTCCCTCCATCCTTCCAATTCTTCCACAAGAGTCCCCAAGCTCCACCTAATGTTTGGCCATGGGTCTCAGTATCTGTTTCAATCCACTTTTGTTCTATTTTTATTGAAAAATAAAAAATGTGTTCATGACCCACAGAATTGACTTGCCAACTCACACTAATGGTCAATCAGCACAACTTGCCAGAGTCAGGACCCATCTCCAGGAAAGCCCAGCTGCAGAGAGTCGATTCCAGCTCCCCAGAGAGAACAGCCCTAAGGTGGGCAGACTTGGTAAGAAACTTGTGAGCTCAGAAGAGCTGAGAACAACACCCACCATTAATGCCCTCTACGGCGGCATATGGAATAACCCCAGAGTAAGATCCAAGTCTGGTTTGATTCACTGGTCTCAAACCCTACCGATGACTCAGTTTCTCCCAGGCCCCCTCCCTATACCCAAGGTTGGTTGCCATCTGTGGTGTTTTGAATAATGGATTTATGTTTGAATGATTAGCTGCCACTTGAATAGAAAGAATGAGGAGGTGTGGCCTTGTTGGAAAGGTGTGTTACTAGCGGTGGAATTTCTGGTTTCAAAAGAACTCCACAAAAACAAACAAACAAACAAAACAAAAAAAGCACTCCACATTCCCACCTGTGGCTGTTGCTCTCAGTTACTATTTCAGAGCCATGCCTGCATGCCTGTTCTATGATCATCTCCATGACGGTCATAAATTCTTCTACCCTGAGCTCCAAACTGAGTTTCATATTGTAAGTTACCTTAGTTATGGTTTCTTAAAACAGCAATAGAAGAGTCACACAGCCACCATCCCAGGGTGTGTGGCCTCCCTGACATATGGGAACATCCAGAGCTTGCTCCTGGAGCTGGAGAGAGAAATGGGTGACTCATATAAACCATGTAAAGCAGTAAAGTCAGTAGGAAAAAAACTACACCTAGCTAAAGATTCCACAATACTGACTGGACAGTTAGAAAAGTGAGACCATAGCTGGAGTGTTACAAATTCAGAGTTAAATGCTGTGGGCTCACTTTAGTGCCCATATGGCCAATCATTGCCCACATCTGGTTCTGACAAGAGCCAGCATTCCTCAGGAAGTTGTGAAGCTGGTTCCCCTCTACCAAAGGAGCTATTTCCTTATCACTGTCAGAAGGCATCTATGATAGCTATTAGCACAAAAAAAGCTCATGCTGGCCTCCAGGCTCCCTCAGAACCACAAGAACTTGTTACACATTTCAGATTCCATGATGGCATCTTGGCTGTCTTCACCCTAGCCCTTACCCCAAACTTCCCCAGCTCATAGGCTTCCTCCCCGAAACTTCTTACTGTCCTTATAACCCTGCTAAGTCGGCTATGCCCCCCCTTTTCTCTTTTGTCTTCCTCTCTTGATCTCTCATGGCCAAGTCCAGTCTGGTGGCCGTGTTCAGTCTACTACTTTCTCCCTCTGCTCTGGACTCTTCCAGAATGCCTCCGGCTGTATTCTCCTCCATTTCTACAATAAGAACCTTTAATCCCAGCACTAGGGAGGCAGAGACAGGAAGATCTGAAAGCTAGCCTGATCTACAGGGTTCCAGGACAGCCCGGGCTACACAGAAAAACCCTGTCTCCAAAAACCTAAATAGATGAATAGATAATTAAATAAAATAAAAACTCTCTGCTTAACCATGCCTTGGAGCAGTCATGTCCTTGGCTTATACACTAAAATCTATGGCTATTTGGTAAAACTGTTTGGACAGTGTTAACAGACTACTAGGCTTCCTCCAACCTAAACACTAAGAAATGTCACCAGAGTATCTGAAGCCTATATCAATGTCCCCATTGTTAGCATTTAGGTAGCCTGCTCCTGGGTTGCCTAGTAACCTATGATGTCATCATGTGTTACTTGCCAGGTAGATACACCTGGCAGGCATGGTTTAGTTGCTCCATAAAAGGACCAACTGCCCCTTTGTCTCTCTCTTGCCTTCTTGCTCTCGTGCTCTCTTGCCGTCTCCTGCTCTCTCCTCTTTCTGTCGGGAGGAGGGGGGCTCTCCTCCCCTTAGCATGTCTTGCTCTCTTTCTCTCTCTCCATCCAATAAACCTTTCATATAATACCTGTTGTATGCATGGTATCATTTTTACGTAACTACTAACATCTGGTGCGGAAACCCTGGACAAAGAGGATGCTGTGCCACTCCTACCCCCTCCCCCACCACCAGAGGGTTGGCTTGGTCTAGGACCTCTGATGCAGCCTTAGAATTGTCTTGGGGAAACTGACAGTTCCAGCATCTGGCGTGAGCATCCAGGGCAGGGGCTTGCCCTCCTCCTCACCATATAATCTGGACATTTTGGTGCTATTGCCTTTTTTTCTCTTACCCCTTTGCATGGCAACCAAGAGCTGCTTCCAGTGAACCTACATTTATATATATTAACTTGCCTTACATGAGAAGCAGCCCAAGCTCTTTTTTTTAATTACAGAAAAAGGGAGGAATGTTAGTATTTAGGCAGCCTGCTTCTGGGTTGTCTAGTAATCTATGATATCAAGGCAGCTCCTTCCTTAGACCCTCAAAATGTGAGCCAGCTGCTGGTAAGGCCTCCTCCACCTGGGCTGGTAGCACAGTGTTTAGCTAAGTGAGTGTTTAGAACAAGAGCATCAGGCTACAGGCTACAGGCTACAGTCAGGGCCTGGGTCACCAATACCTAGCAGCAGGAAAGGAGAGAGTAGGCACTTTTTTTTTTTTGTCAAAATCATTGGCGACTGGGGGTGGAGGTAAGGAGTAATGGAAACTGAATTCTGGCTGCAAACCTCAAGCATGGAGGTGAAACCAAAAGTTTTCACTATTACAAGACTGAAACTTAAATTACCAAGTGCCTGGGGCTTGGAGATGGTGGTGCCTCGTGAAAACTAGTCCTCTAAAATTCTGGACATCAGAAAAAAAATTTATTCTTATAGACACTACTTCTACTTCCAATTTTAAAAATTACTTTGTGAGTGCCTGTGTATATGAGAGGGCAGCCATGTGCAGGTCGGAGGAGAGGTCGAATCGCTGGTTCTCTGCTTCCACTGTGTGGTCCCGGGAATAGAACTTGGATCATCAAGCCTAGCAAGGGTACCTTCATCCACTGAGCCATCTCCAAGTCCTCACTAAATAATCCTAAATAAGCTTTGGGGAATCACAGTACTGACCCAAACACTAATGATCACGAAAAAAAAAAAAAATCTAGTCTATGAAGACACGAACTTAGTGGTAGTTTTATTGACTATGAAACATGTTTTACAAAAGAAAGTTGAGAAAGCCAAGGCACTATTTGCTACGAAGCATTTAACGAAAGGGGATAAAGCTGCAACTGGGGCCTGCTGTCCCGGGCAGAGGGCCTGCCCCAAGGCCTTCACAAAAGACGCTAGCCAGCGGGGAGACCAAGGCAGAAGACGGGGCGGGCCTTGCAGCTAGGTCGCCAGCTGCCGGGCCCGCCCACTGCCAACTGAGCCAATGCCGAGGGGAGGCCAGGAGAGGCTCCGCCCAACGAGCTGGTGAGGTCGCCTCCTAGCGGCCAGAGCACCGACCCCGCAAGCCGCGACCCCCAGATGACCCTAGAGGTCGCTGGGGTCATGGGCACCTCCGAGGCCGCACCGCCGCCGTTCGCGCGCGTCGCCCCCGCGCTCTTCATCGGGAATGCACGAGCCGCGGGTGCGACGGAGCTGCTGGTGCGCGCAGGCATCACTCTGTGTGTCAACGTCTCCCGCCAGCAGCCCGGGCCGCGCGCACCCGGAGTGGCCGAGCTGCGCGTACCCGTGTTCGACGACCCAGCTGAGGACCTCCTGACGCACCTGGAGCCCACCTGTGCCGCCATGGAGGCTGCGGTGCGCGACGGTGGCTCCTGCCTCGTGTACTGCAAGAACGGCCGCAGCCGCTCAGCGGCCGTCTGCACCGCCTACCTCATGCGGTACCGCGGCCTCCGCCTGGAGCGCGCCTTCCAGGTGCGAGCTTCCAGGGGCGGGTCTTCCGGGGCGGGCCCCGCCTAGAGCGGCTCTTCCGGGGCGTGTCCCCTTCACACTCGGGGCGGAGCCTCTACGCCCTGGACCTTCGGTCCGATCTCTCACCCGCTGCTCTCTTGATTACAGTTGGTGAAGAGCGCCCGCCCGGAAGCCGAGCCCAACTTGGGTTTCTGGGCTCAGCTGCAGAAGTATGAACAGACCCTCCAGGCCCAGGCCCTCCTGCCCGGGGAATCCGCTGATCCCGAGTAAGCCGCACCGTTCAGCTGCTGGTTAGCCAAGAGTCTACGCTGAAAGAGGATTTCTTCCTTCCTTTTCCACTAGGCTGCTGGCCTCGGGTGTTGCCCCCTCTTGATAGTAATACAGAAATGTGTTCTGAAGAGGAAGACTTCATTTATTTATCAGGTTTTGGTCAAATACAAACCAGCAAGTTTTAGGTAGAGAAACTATATGAAGGATCGTTAGAGTCTTGGAACTCTACGGCAGCTGATAGGGAGTGACAGAACAAAGTCTTAACTGCTGGGTTTGTAGGCTGAACCTCTCCCTGCCCCCCCCCCCCGACGTCTTTCTGGTCCCTTATACCTGAACATATCCCAATAGCAGGCCATGGGCTCACCGTCTTTAGGCTTCCAGCGATGCCATGGAAGGGAGATTTCTGCCCACCTCCCACCATGTTACTTAACCTGTAGCAATACCAACACTTGACCTAGCATTATCCAGCCACTATGCCCTGTGCAGCATTCCCTCGCCTGCCATCGATCGCCACCTTGTGTTGCTCACACCTTCCAGATGTGACCAGCTGCCACTGTCCATCCGGACTGCTGTTCAAGCTGGCTAACTGACCACTGCGCTATCTCCCCCAGGTCCTTTATTTTTATCCCTTTAAGCAACCGTTGCTCCTATTTGCATTCAGCCATTGAAGCTGCAGTGACTTGCAGTGATCAGAGCTCCAGGCCCAAGTTTTCTTGAAGTGTGTAGCTGATCCCTGCTCACAATGCCTTCCAAGAGACCACTGCCCTCCCATCAGGGCAGCACATACTTCCTAACCTGCTAACTTGCCTAGAGTCAAGTCACCTAGAGGTGACAAAGGTGCAAGGGACAAAATGCCCAGGTCAGATTATCTGTGGAGTGGATCAGGTACTTTTTATTCCACTGGCTCTGTTCTTGGAGCTATTCAACTGTAGCTTTTGCCAAGCCCAGCTCTCCAAACCTCTGCCCTGGGAACTACAAGACACCCTCCAACCCCTCTTCACATACCGATTTCTTCTGGGGCCTGCAGTATAACACTGACTGTAACCACAAGGGGACACGCCAGCTAGCTCATCAGTGTCAGGGCAGGTTCTTGGGCTGGGCGGTATGACAGTAGAGGCATTTGGAGATTTGCAGTCTACTGACTCCAGAGTGTAAAATGTTCTCTGGGTATCAAAAGAGCTGTGTTAGCTCCTTATGTAAATATGTGGTGGAGGCACACCCAGCCCACCTTTAGAAGTGGAATAGCTGGATCAAGGCTGCCTCATACCATGCCTTCTGTTTGCAAAAGGGAGTATCACCAGGACAGGAGGAATAAGACCCCAACCTCTGCTGGTACATTTGGAGAGACGGGGTTGGGAGAACTTTACACTCTACATCAAGGAAAAAAGGGAGGGGACCTAGGACAACAGGACAGTGCAATTGAACTGAGGATGCCTGTGTAGACAATCTGGTGGACAGGCCCCTGGACACCTGAAAGTAGCGCTAACCTTAACTCGAGGTCCCTTTACTCTTTTTGTAGCCAGGATTTCAGTAACCCAGGTTGGCCTCACACACTACATATGCAGCCAAGGATGACTGGGAACTTCTGATGCTTTTTGTTTCTGCCTCCTGAGTGGCAGAGTGTTTTCCATCAAGTCCGGTCTTCCTCCCTCCAATCCTTGCCTCTGCATGATAGCGTGAACCTTGGAGTGCCTGCAGTCTGAAATAAGGGTTCCACAAGGGATCCTGTGTACGGCTAAGAGGATACATGGAGATCTGAGGGCTCTGCTTAAAGGAAGCCATGCTTCAGCGTTCAGGCTGCACCCGTAGCCGGTGGAAGGAAGTCTGGACCACTTGACTGACGTTTCCGGAGACTGAGTCCTGACAGCCGGGCACTCCCCAGAAGTGACACTACAATCACACCGCTATCAGAGCAGGAGACAGAAGTGTGTCTCTCTTGAATATTCCCTCAACCCTAAAAGCCCTCTTCCTCGAATCCGTTCCTGCCGATAGGTAGCAGGACACCTCTGTCCACACCTTGTGTTGGTCCTGGTCCTGGACAGCTCAAGCTTTGAGCAGCCTTGGAGAGCTCGCCTAAAATGCCCCCGCAGTCCTGCGACCCTCATATTGGAGCCTCGACACAGAACGGCATCATCAGTGTATCTTCATTTCACACGCACCTCGACGGCAACAAAACAAAACGGACCATAAAACATAGCCAGCGCAACTGACAGCTTCTCCTGATGCTTCATTTGAATCTAAATGGCCACAACTGTACGGGATTTGTACTCGACAGCCGTGCGTTTTCCCAAAAAAGCTTTGCACCCACGGCTACGGCACAGGCCAACTGGAGGACTCAAATGGAATCGCGTCAGGAGAACTGCAAGGATCATTCCCGAAGTCTGAGGACCGGAGGCTGAGGTGTCACCGGCGTCCCTGGGAAAGTGACGGTCCCGCCTCCAAAGCTGAGCGATAAGCCTTTGCTGCAGAGCGCAGGCTGAGGACGCACAGCCTTTCAGGGTGTCCTGCCTCTCGTTCTGCTCCGCCGCTCACGCCGCCTCGGCGCACAGACCCGGGACCGCACACAGCGCCCCCGGCGGCTGCCGAGCCCAGCCGGAGCGGGGCGGTGCACGGCGCGGGGCCGGGCCGGGCGGCTCCCGGCGCGACTTCCTGTTGTGCCCGCGTCCCGCCGCCGCCACCGCCGCCGCCACCGCCACCGCCGCCGCCACCGCCACCGCCACCGCCACCGCCAGCCGCACCGCCGTCCGGGCCTCTCGCCCACCGCCCGCGGCCCTCAGCGGGCGCCGCCCATGGATTTCACTTAGCGCCGGTGGCCATGGCGGCGCAGTGCTGCTGCCGCAAGGCGCCCGGAGCCGAAGGCGCGCCCGCCCGCCCGCCGCCGGAGCCGCCGCCCGCCCTGGACGTTGCCTCGGCCTCCAGCGCGCAGCTTTTCCGCCTCCGCCACCTGCAGCTGGGCCTGGAGCTGCGGCCGGAGGCGCGTGAGCTGGCCGGCTGCCTGGTGCTGGAACTGTGCGCGCTGCGGCCCTCGGCCCGCGCGCTCGTGCTCGACGCGCACCCGGCCTTGCGCCTGCACTCGGTCTCTTTCCGCCGCGCCTCTGCCGCCTCCGAGTCGCCCTGCACCTTCGCCTTCCCTGCCCCAGAGTTGGGTCCCCCGCTGCCCGCCTTCGCCGATGCGCCGGGCGCAGAGTCCGCCATCTGCCCGCTGGCCTTCAGGCTGGACCCGTTCACCGACTATGGCTCCTCGCTGACCGTCACACTGCCTCCCGAGCTGCTGGCGCACCAGCCCTTCCAGATCATACTGCGCTACACCTCGACCGACGCCCCCGCCGTGAGTACTACCCGGGTGGGCACCGGGTCTTTAAGTGGCCAGCGGGGCTCTGCAAATATCTCTTGGTTCACTGCTGGGTTAGAGGATGTTAATCTGCACGCTGCTTCTGGGACACTTACCGAGAATGAGGGGCAACCTGACCCGAGGCCTCCCTCGGTGGCTGCGGTTATTCCCAGATGTTGCCGACTAGTTCTTGGGACCATTGAGTGGATTCCCAGGCCCAGGCCCGGTGGACATTGTTGATACTCAACAGCATGTTTCTCGGGGTGGGGGTGGGGGGACTTCCCGTCAGGTGTTATGCCCCTATCTAGACACAAGAGCAGCTTCTGGTGGGGTCCTGCTAAACCAGTTGCAGGAGTCCCTGCAATGAGGAGTGTTCTGGGAGGGCCACCCTGTGATCTGGGCCTTCGGAGGGCTTGAGGACACCCGGGTCTGTTCTCTGGAGGTGGAAGGAGGAACAGTGGGTGACAGAGAGGCCCTGTAGGCCGTGAGGTTAGGCTTTGGACTCCCTGAGCTGTGACATGCTGGGGCAAATGTGCCCCGCCTCCCAGTAGACACACAGGGCTCCCTGCTGAGGCCTTCAGCATAGCGCACCCACCATCCTACAGGCCCTGATGGAAAAGCAAAGGGCATAGGGCTAATCCTGTGGCAGCCAATGGGTTTGCAGAATGGAGCAGGACCTTTGGCTCCTGAAGCTTGATGCCTCCCTCCAGCTCCCCCGGTAGTAGAGAGTGCTCATGTGACATCTACCATGGATACCTAATGCACAGGCAGCTCCACAGGGCCCTTGGAAAGTCCATCTGCCACTGCCCGGGGAGCCCAAATGAACAGGCCAGGAGCCACAGAGTAACAAAGTGACATCTGGGCAGGAAAAGGCCAGATGGGATTCACATCACACAGGCTTCCTGCACCCTTCTCACGAGTCTTGACTGGGGTCAGCCACCTTTTCCCAGAGTCCCTGCTATGTGCTGGACTATGGGGCTCAATCCCTTACCTGCTATGGTAGTGGGGGGCCTCTGCAGGTGTTAGGCCTGCTCCTTAGCATGCCAGATGAAAACTGAGGAGTGAGCTGCTTCCTGGCCTCCACTTCTGAATGTGTGCCGTGTGTTTGCTCTGTCCATTGACAGCAGAGTGGTAGAAATGGAACCTTTATTGGCTGCAATAGACAAGGCCAGTGGACAAGGGCAGCCTGGTGATGGGACTGTGGTTGCTCCAGACAGGGAAAAGCTGCATGGTCCTCATAGCCTGGGTGGCTCCAGGGTAACAAAAGCTGACCCACAGCCATGGAAGCAGATTGACCTCTAACCCCAGGCACTTTATGTTGCACATGTCCCCTGAGCAGCTCAGAACTCACATCCCTGTCTGCCCTGTGCCTAGGGAGGACGCAGCAGGAGCCATTTAGATTTTCCAGAAGGCCCTGACAGTGGCTCCAACTCCAGAAGCAGCAGTTTAGAGGTGTGGATTCTAGGGCTTCTCCGCACCCCAGCCCTTCATTCCCACCCCAGCAAGAACATCTTCCCCCCTGCCCGCCCTACAGAATCTGAAGTTAGCTAACCTATTTCTTATACACTGGGACCATCAGCTGCTTTGCTCTGGAGTAGAGGACTCCCACCTCTGAGGCAGGGCCAAGCCTAGCCCCTCCCCCTAGGGTAGTATTATTGGTGTCTGGAAAGGCAGCCCACCCTTGAGCCCTGGAGCCAAGGCATGGTTGTGGAGCTATAGGGTAAGAAGTAGGCAGAGCCTGAGGGTTCAATGGAATAAGCGTAGCTGGTGTAAAAGAAGAATGTAGAGATTGAAGGGCCTTTGGGAGCCTGTCCTCCCAGAACAGACCGAGACCCCACTGGCCACAGGTTCTACCACAGGGACACTCCTCCATTCAGGTCCATGGGTCCCAGGTTTCTGGAGGTTGCATTTTGGAGCTAGCTCTCCAGCAAAACAGAAAGGCACATTTGCAGGTTTGCTATGGAGAGAAGACAGTGATAGGAAGGGGCCCATGAATGCTGGCAGAGGCCTGACTAGGTCCATATGACAAGCAACCCACTCAAGTTTGTGACCTATTGATAGGTAGCCTCCTGGGTGTGGAATCTGTGGGACAGGCATCAGTCTCTGGGTCTGTTGAGGTAGGAGTCTCCCTCAGGTCTGGGTCTGTGGAGCAGGCATACCCCCAGGTCTGTGGGGCAAGGTGTTACTCCCCAGGTCTTAAGTCTTTAGGAAAGGCACCTCTAGGGTCTATATGCAGACAGCACCCCAGATCTTGGGGTCTGTGGCACAGTCCCCAAGGTCTGGGGTCTATAGGGACAAGCATTCCCACACAGCTCTGGGGTCTGAAAGCAGACATTCCGCTCTGGGTCTGGGAGCTATTGGATGAATAGCTCCCTCCCCACACACAGGTCTGAGGTCTGTGGGGCGGGCAACTTCGCCACACACGTCATGATCCCTTATCTGGGGTCTAGGAGATGTCATTATGGGCTCTGTCCCCCATGATGACAGTCAGCCTTGACTGCACACACTTGTCCATTCATAGAGTTGTGTTGGGGGTGTTTCCTATCTATGTCCCCTGAAAGGACCCACGTGCCCTTGATCACCAAAATGAAAAATTCACTTTGTTTCATTCCTGTCGTCCTAGCAGAGGGCAGTGTGGGGACAGACATTGCTTTGTAGCTGGAGCTCCTCAGTGGGGGTGGGACCTGGCCTGGACAGCTGAAGATTCAGAATGCCTCAACAGCGATGGCTAGGAAGGAGGTTTGGCTAAGCCAGTGACCTTGGCCCTGAGAGGCCAGGTGGCAGAAGAGTGGGAGGGGGAGGAGGGGGGCAGCAGTTACTGGGGATCACTCTTTGCTGCAGTCACCCCCCAGGCACTAGCCTCAGAGGATCTCCCCTTGACACTCCTGCCATATCAGAGCTTATCAAGCCTCCACTCTAGCCCCACCTCTAGCTAGGTAAACCTAGCTGCAGGTTTACCAGCACTGGGCTGACTTCCTCTATACCAATGTAAGGGAGCACTGGTTTCCCTTGTTTCCCTGCTAAGAAGAGATTGGCTATCAGCCCGTGGGGATTCAAACCCAGGTTCTGGCCATTCCTCAGTTTCCCTCTAGAATTTCAGCTAATACCACAGTGGGCGTTTTCCTCTTTTCCTTTATTGTGGGCCTGCCCCAGACCTCCTGTTTGGGAACAAGGCTGGTGTCTGGCGCACACAAACTGGATTGACAGTCCCTGCCAGGGAAAGGAGTGAGTGTACCAGGTGGGCAGGTGAAGGCTGCAGGAGCAGATGTGGGCCTGTAACAAACACAGGCAGGGCCCTTCCCAGCACCCATTGTCGCCAGGCTCTAGACCTAGCGCACTGGACCAGGTGACAGCATCTGCTTATGTTTCACCTTGCCCACAGATCTGGTGGCTGGACCCAGAGCTGACCTATGGCAATGCCAAGCCTTTCGTGTTCACCCAGGGCCACTCTGTGTGCAACCGCTCCTTCTTCCCCTGCTTCGATACACCTGCCGTCAAGTGCACCTACTCGGCTGTTGTCAAGGTCAGGATCTCGCTTGGGGCTGTTCCTGCCTCCTTCAGACACTGTAAGAGGCTGGAGTTTACTGTAGGCCTGCACAGGCTCTGGCCCACCTCCTTTGTACTCTTCCTGCCTAGACTGGGATCCAGGCTGCTAAAGGCCATTGTCTTAGTGAGACAATCCTGCAGAGAAGTCAAAGACAGGCCTTACGGAGGTCAGGTGGAGGGACCAGGGTATGGCACTGAGGAAGGCAGGAACCTGGTGGAGGTTCTTGAGTTACAGCCAAAGCATGGCAACCTCTAACTGGAGCAGATTAGGGTTCCAGTGTGTGATCCTCTAGAGGGGACATGGTTCCTTGCCCCAACCTGTGAGGCTAAGAATCTGAGGGCTTCCTCATGGATATAGAGTTCCCCCAACCTGCATTGTAGTGCCCCACCCCCTGGAGATGGAAGACTCCCTGATGGGACCATGGGTCCCCTGTCACAGATGAGGAGGCCTCTGAGATGAATTGTGGAATCCCTTATTAGGGATAAGTCATCCCTTAAAAGTGTGGTTCCCTTTCCTGGGAGGTGGTTGTATCCCAGTAGACTGCCAATCCTCAGCCTAGCCCATTGCAGGCCCCATTAGGGGTACAGGTGCTGATGAGTGCAACTCGGAGCATGTACGTAGAGGAGGAAGGCGTCTACCATTTCCACATGGAGCACCCTGTACCTGCCTACCTCGTAGCCCTTGTGGCCGGAGACCTCAAGCCAGCAGACATTGGACCTAGGTAGGTCCCCTCTGCATGCTGCTGCACTGTTCTGGGTGACTGGGCCTCAGGAAGACACCAGAAGATGCCAGCCCATGCACATGCCTCCTCACTCACTGTCTTCAGACATAGAACTAAGGAACCCATCCCAGTGCCCTGCCTGTCATCAGTCTGGGGCTACCACACAACCAGCTGTCCCCTCCTGTCCTTACCAGTTCCTTCAGTTCATGGACAAAAGGATCTGAATACACCTTGGCTTTGTTATGCAGTTCCCCTACCTGTTGTGGGAAGAGCCACATCCAGGAAGCAGGGCCCGACAAGGCTGAGGGAGGGATCCAGTGGGGTGAGTAAGGTCTAGACTCTTCAGCCTCGGCCCACCTCCTCTACCTGTGACAGGAGCCGTGTGTGGGCTGAGCCATGCCTCCTGCCCACGGCCACCAGCAAGCTCTCAGGTGCTGTGGAAGAGTGGCTGAGTGCAGCAGAACGCTTATACGGGCCGTACATGTGGGGCAGGTATGTCCTGTCCTCCGCTCTTCCTGGCTGGCTATACTCTTTCCCTCAAAGAAAGAAGAGGGCTAAACTGGGAACTCCTTGTCTGACCCCGTGTTCCCTGTCCTCTGTCTACTGGGAAGGGAGTAATACTGCAGGGCTGGGCTGCCATCCCAGGTGGAGAGAGTAGCTGTGGGTTTGGTGAGTCGTGGTCAGAGCCCTTCCTCACCCTGCACCTGTGGGCACAGATATGACATCGTTTTCCTGCCACCCTCCTTCCCCATTGTGGCTATGGAGAATCCTTGCCTCACCTTCATCATCTCCTCCATCCTTGAGAGTGATGAGTTCCTGGTGATAGACGTCATCCACGAGGTAGCCCACAGCTGGTTCGGCAACGCTGTCACCAATGCCACCTGGGAGGAGATGTGGCTGAGCGAGGGCCTAGCCACCTACGCACAACGCCGCATCACCACGGAGACCTATGGTATTGTCTGGGGCAGCTACGGCAGGGGTAGAGTAGCCGTGGGCCTTCTTAGGCACCACTTGCAAGGGGCATAGAGCCCTGCCTAGCCTCCAGCTTTGACAGTGTCTAGCAGTCTCTGGGGCTAGGTGGTGGGCAGAGAGGGGCAACCCTGCTGTAGGTGCTCCAGCCTCCCTGACCTCTACCTTTTCTCTATTCTGACTCCACTCAGGGGCTGCCTTCACCTGCCTGGAGACAGCCTTCCGCCTGGATGCCCTGCACAGGCAGATGCGGCTTCTTGGGGAGGACAGCCCGGTTAGCAAGCTGCAGGTCAAGCTAGAACCAGGTATTCTCTACCCCAGGCTTACCCCTAGGAACCCACGTGTGGCATCCCCAGGCATCCTTCCTGCTGTTTACTTGCCCTGCTAGGGCTTCTCCACCTCACCATGCTTGAATCCCTTCCAAGTCCAGGCTGGGTGTCCATAGGCCCCAGGGAAGAGCTCTTAGGTGCCTCTGCCTGCCACAGTCCAGCAGGGGCTGAGCACTGGTTGCCATGGTGCAGAGCAAGCTCCATCACTGTGTACCAGGATGTTGATACTCACGCAAAGGACTGTGGCCCTCCCGCTTGCCCGCTCCTCAGCTAGCTACTGCCCCAGCTTCAGCATGCAGGACACAGCTGCATCCTCGGTGTCCCCGCAGGAGTGAACCCCAGCCATCTGATGAACCTGTTCACCTATGAGAAGGGCTACTGCTTCGTGTACTACCTGTCCCAGCTCTGCGGAGAGCCTCAGCGCTTTGACGACTTTCTTCGAGTAAGCACGTGGGTCTGACCACCTCTTGTCCACAACTTCTTCCAGCTGGCAGAGTTGTCCTCTGGGGAGAGGGGACCTGGGGACCAGAGTGGGACCTGGCCTGCTGAGGTACTATCCCTCCTTCTACCCTTTCAGCAGGGCCTATGGGCCACCTGGACTGTGATGTACATCTTTAGAAGATGTCCCAGTGTGCCAGCCCCACTCTGCCAGAGCTAACCATCCCCAGCCTTCCATACCTGCTAAGGCCATGCCCCTCATCTCACAGGCCTATGTGGAGAAATACAAATTCACGAGTGTGGTGGCCCAGGACCTGCTGGACTCCTTCTTGAGCTTCTTTCCTGAGCTAAAGGAGCAGAGCGTGGACTGCCGGGCAGGTGAGGCCACCAACCTTGCTTGCAGGCTCAAGGGCTGGGAATAAAATGGCAGCAGTGGCTGGAGAAAAGCTTGTCAACCCCTTCTGCTCTGTGTAGGCTCTAGGTCAGGATGCCATGAGAGTAAAGAGGAGTCTGTACCTCCCAGTCTAAAGAATCATGGCAGGGAGAGGGGGCGGGGGCTCCCTGGAGGAGATGGCCCTAGACTAAGCAGGCTAAGCTAAGCAGCCAGCGGGAAAGGGTTGTGGAAAGAGACATGCAAAGTCCCTAGAGGATGCTCAGCAAGGTGGTGGGATTTGCCCTGGGACCCTGCTTGTGCCTAATAGAGGTCTCCTGAGGGATCTGAGGGCTTGGGGACCAATGTAAGCATGGGAGTAGCTTGATATCCATAGAAAAAAAATGAGTTTGTGAGAGGGCTTCAAAGTCTAAGAATGGTGACCCTAAAGTTTAGAAGGTATATGAGTGTTCTGTGGGTTGGGGGTGGTCCTCAGAGACCATGTGCCTCATTAACAGTGCAGTGCAGAGCCTCCTCTGCCCTAGTTTTGTATACAGGACAGGCATGTAGTGAGTGGAGGCCCCTTGGCCACTGACCAAGCTTCGTGGTCTCTCCCTGTATCCTGCATAGGAGCCCCCTCCTATGGGGAAGGCACAAACTTCTGGGGAATTGCTTATATTCTTTGAGGACTCTGGTCTCTCTAGAAGAGACCACCCTCCAAGGGATACCCTCTGGGCTTGGAGTCTCCCTGGCAGTCTGCTCTGGTGGCCCCTCCCCAGCCCAGGCAGGGACCCCAGGCCTGGTCTTCCTACAGGGCTGGAGTTCGAGCGCTGGCTCAATGCCACAGGCCCACCACTGGCTGAGCCAGACCTGTCTCAGGGGTCCAGCCTAACCCGGCCTGTAGAGGCCCTCTTCCAGCTGTGGACTGCAGAGCCCCTGGAGCAGGCAGCAGCTTCAGCCAGTGCCATTGACATCTCCAAGTGGCGGACCTTCCAGACAGCACTCTTCCTGGACCGGCTGCTGGATGGATCCCCGTTGCCCCAGGGTGGGTCCCACAGCCAACAGGGTAGCCTGGGAAAGGGATGTGGCTCCAGCCCAGCCCTGACCTGCCCACCACCCCACAGAGGTGGTGATGAGCCTGTCCAAGTGCTACTCGTCCCTGCTGGACTCCATGAACGCTGAGATCCGAATCCGCTGGCTGCAGATCGTCGTCCGCAATGACTACTATCCTGACCTTCACAGGGTCCGCCGTTTCCTGGAAAGCCAGGTGCAGCTACATGCTGGGGCATGACCTGGGGGGATAGCCTCTCCTCAGTGGCCCATCTCAGCCATCAGACTTTCCACTCAGGCAGGCCAGGCATGTTCTGGAGAGAGGAATGGAAGCCATCAGGCCCAAAGTGATAGCAGAGGGGTCAGAGTACAGGTGAGATGGGAGAAGATTGCAAGACTAGTCAGAGGGAGGCATGAACTCCACCACAGAGGGAAAAATTGGGTACCAGAGTCCAGGGGTCTCCGCTGGCATTAGCCTTGAGCTAGCTGGGCTTTAGGCCTATCGGTATCCCCTTCCAGGTCTGGGTACAGGGCCCATTCAAGCTTCTCAGGCAGAGGCCAGCCTTCCCATCCCTTGCCCAGCCCTTGCAGCCCAAACTCTGAGACAGCCTAGAGGGAGGGGTGAAGGTGAGACTGGTGAGGGCACTGTAGCATGTGAGTCCAGCCAAAGCCCTCCTGAACATTTGGGGGTGCGCCTGGCTCTGGGTGGGGGGAGGTGCACAGGGAGCCTGCTGGTGTGACCGGGTACCTTCTGCAGATGTCGCGAATGTACACCATCCCGCTGTATGAGGACCTCTGCACTGGGGCCCTCAAGTCCTTCGCACTCGAGGTCTTCTACCAGACACAGGCCCGGCTGCATCCCAACCTGCGCAGAACCATCCAGCAGATCCTGTCCCAGGGGCTAGGCCCCAGTGCTGAAGCCATTGCAGAGCCCAGCACAGAGCTGGGCAGTGCTGAGGCAGATGCGAACCCAGACTCGCCAGCCCTGCTGCTTGGGGATGAGGCCCCCAGCAGCACCATCTCTCTCAGGGACGTCAATGTTTCTGCCTAGCCTTGATGGTGACTGACCCTCGACCTCCCAGACACCACAATTGTGCCTTTTGTGGTCCGGGCCGCCATGACTGCGCCTTGGCTCTGGCCACGAGCTCTGCCCGGGACCATAAGCCCCTCCCATTGGCACCAGGCCAGGGGCATGGGGAAAAGGATCTTGTGTCCATTGAGGCCCATGTACCAGAGCCTACTCTGTCCCTGCTCTCTTGCACTGCAGGCCCCAGGGCTGGCCTATACCCACCATGCCTCCTGTCTCAACACTGACAGCCATGCCTCACCCTGGAAGCCAGCATCTGCTGAACACTGCCTTGGGGACAGTGACCCCAGCAGTCTCACAGCAACAACCACAATGTGCCTTACATGTGCCAGAGGCCCAGGATGTACGGTCCTGGAAGTGTGCTTCCCTGCAGAACCCAGTGTCTGGCCCCTGGGCTAGAAACCTTGCTTCAAGGACAGAGGGAAGAGGGGCAAGGACACGGGCATTTCATCAGCATGAGGGCAGAGGACAGAAGGAGAGGATGGAACTCTCAAGCCTCAGTTTCTGCAGTCCAGGCCCCAGAGGTACAGAGAAGGATGGTCTGTCTCTGTGGCTACCTTGGTACCATCGGTGCTCTCTGTAACCTGCTTGCTGGGAGAGACACCAGGCTTGGGCTTCAGCCTGGGACCACTGCAGCAGGAACCATGGTGACTGTCCATTAAATCTCCATTCTGCAGACCTGACCTCCCTTCCTATTTATCACTACCCTGTTTTCTAAACCCAGCCAGCTGCTAGAGGTAGGGCTGGCAGAGATGAGAACTGGTTACAGAGTCTTTGTCATAGTCTGTCTCAATAGACAGACCCCAGAGGAGGTGGGAACCTATCCTGGAGGCTGAGGTGACAGGGCCAATAGGTGGCCCCTTGTTCTTCTCAACTCCTCTCTCAGACCTTCAGGACCCTTAAAAGGATGTTTGTCACCCTTGTACTGGACTTTGATCTCTGTGACTCTGACCATACCTCTGCCTCTTAGCCCTGGGGTACCCAGGCCTCCAAAACCAGAGTTCAAGAGAAGCGTGAGTAACAGGGATTAACAGGGATGTGGAGACTGAACTAAAGCATGGCAAGCTGTGGAGTAGATGCCTCAGCTAACAAAGGAAAGGTCCATGTTCACAGGGTGTCAAGTGGAGCCACCTGTCATGGGTGCTGAGAGAGAAGCTGATGACAAGGTCAGCGTAGGCAGCAGTTGGTACTCTGAAGCCTCCAACACTGCAGTGTGCTGCAGCATACCTTTTGTCCCAACCCACCACCAGGCCCAGTCACAGCCAGCTCCACATGTGATTACAGGAAACAGATGAGTACTACCAGTCACCAAATGTCTCATACACCCCAAATGAGACCAGGACTCAGGGTCACATCTCCTTTGACAGCTTATCTGCACAATGCCCATCACAGTACTGCCTGAGGCTCTACACTATTCAAGAGTGAGAACCATTTCTCACAACAGCGCGGGGCAGAGGGGACAACTGCAGTGACACCTTGCAGAAGAGAGATGTTACTATTCTCATTGCTGTAACAGTATCGGACAGAAACAAATAACAATTTGCTTTAGCTGTTGTCTTAGGCCATAGTGGCAGGGAAGGAGTGGTATCAAGAAAGGCGTGGTCAGTGGCAGCATATGTCTAGGGGACAGGGGGGTCACACTTGCTGAGATTCCTTAGTACTAGACAGCAGAGACAAATATAGCTGGAAGGCCAGCCAGGTCCCATCTCCTAAAAGCTCCATAGCCTTAAATATAGCACCATACACTGGTTCCAATCTGAGCTTTGGAGGTGAGAGAGACTTTCAGATTTAAAACATAATGAGCGCCTGGGGGGTGGGGTTGCTGTCTGAGTTTAAGCCCCATCAGGTGGCATGGCCAAGAACCCCATGTATCCCATTCATCTTTGCTCTCTCTGGCCCAGGTGCCACCATCCAGAGAGCCTGTACCTGAAGACGTCCACACAGTGCTTTTCAACAGCAGAATCGCTCTCAACTTGTTCCTGCCAAGACTACTTTCAAGTTTGTCATCACAAACTCACTTAGGCTTCTCATTTATTTGTCAAGACACCTTTGTGGTCTTCCAGAGGATTGATACCAGTTCTAGATGCCCCAACTGTACCCACAGTGCCCTCCAACCAGTACTTAGATCTGAATGATACCAGAAATGAGATGGGCGTGATGGTGCATGTCTTTAATGCCAGTACTCAGGGAGGCAGAGGCAGTCGGATCGATTTTAGTTCATGCCAGTCTGGTCTACAAAGTGAGTCTTGTGGGGCATATGTTGTCTCCCTTCCCCCAGAGGGCTAACTAGGAATCTGTGCCAATGGAAGGGATTTTAAGTGATTCCAGGAAATGTGCCAGGGATTAAATGACACGGAGGGGGTCTTGCCTATAGTGCAAGGCTACACAGAGAAACCCTGTCTTGAAAAAAAAATCAGAAATTACAACTTAGGTAATTCTAGGTTGGGTTGCCCACCTGGAATGCTATCCTCAATGTCGATCTGTCGTGGCTCTGCATGCCATTAGAGGTACAGAGGAGCATTATTTTCAACTACATCCTTGTAGCTCTGGTCTTCATCTGTGTCCTTTCTCCAGCAGGCAAAGCTGGACTGCCTTAGAGTCTCTTCCCTGTAATTTCTTGCTAGGCAGACCATCACTCATAGCCAGTGCTTCCAGCCTCCTCCACTGCACTTACCCACTCTTCTCTACATTGTCTGCCTCTGTGAGCCATCACAAGTTAGCTTCAACAGATGTGTTGTTCTCACATCCCATGCAAACCAACATTTCAGCTGGCGATGGTATGAGGATCTGCATGTTACCTAGGAGCCTAGCTAAAACTTCCCGGGACCCTTTTTTCAGGCTCTGTCCTGTGCAGTCTGGAATGTCCATTAGCACGCTCCTCCACAGAGACTTGGAAAGTGTTCTGGAGAACTTCTGGCATAAAAACAAGGCACCACCGAGAGCAGCCACTGGTTAATGCCAGCAATGCACAGAACATCAGTGAACAAACCAGGCTAGCACCTGAGACACAGCTGTGGAACACTGGCAGACTTCAGAGCACACAGCTCAGACATAAACAGGACAGGGTGTAAAATAGAGTACACTGATGGGAATATGCCCTGTGAACAGTAACAGTGGTATCAAATACCTGGGACATTTTTAATTTTTTTAACTTTATTTGTTTTGTTTAGTTGTTCAGTTTACATCCCAATTATAGTCCCCATCCTCTTCTCCTGGCCCTATCTTCCCTTCCTCTTCCCCCCTCCCCTAGCCCTTAGGAAAGCCTCCCACCCCCACTAACCCATGAAAGCACTTCAAGTCACATCAAAACTGAGCACATCCTCTTCCACCGTGGCCTGCCAAGGCAGCCCCACCAGGGGGAGGTGATCAAAAAGCATGCAACAGAGTCCATGTAAGAAACAGTACCCACTCCCCTTACTAGGGAACCCACAAGAAGACCAAGTATATATGTGTGTGGGGTATGTATGTATAGAGGGGCCTAGATCCAGTTCATGCATAGCCCTTGGTTGGTGCTTCAGTCTCTGCAGGGCCCCTTGGGCCCAGGTTAGTTGGCTCCTGTCCCTTCTGTGTCCTTCTATCCTTCCCCCAACTCTTCCACAAGGCTCCCTGTGCTCCCCCCAATCTTTGGCTGTGAGTCTCAGCATCTGTTTTGATCCTTTGCTGGGTGGAGCCTCTAAGAGGACAGCTGTGCTAGGCTCCCATCTTGCTCAGGATAGTCTTTCCCAGTTCCATCCATTTACCTGCAAATTTCAAGATTTCCTTGTTTTTAATAGCTGAATAGTATTCCAGTCTCAATATTTTATATAAAAAACACTGGAGTTCAAGATGGCCTTTTCATATATTGTACTCACTTATTACCTTCTCATGGCCCCTTCTCCACCAACAAATTTCCTCCCATTCCCTTTCTCATTTCCTCCCTTCTTCGTTCTTTATTCTACATTTATAAAAAAAAAAAAAAAAAAAAAAAAAAAAAAAAAAAAAAAAAAAAGGTTGTCTGAGTCTGGCTTTTTTTTTTTTTCTATGTATGTGTTTGTCTACATATATGCAGGTCATCTGCAAGAGTAGCCAGTGTTCTTAACCACTGAACCACCTCTCCAACCCTCCCCAGCTTATTTCTGTTAACATCATGCTCTCTATCAAATTTCCTACCAAGGACATAGTTCCGTACTTCTCTGTAGCGGAATGGTACCCACTGTATTTATTTACTGCATTTCCTTTATCCATTCATCTGTTGATGGACTTCTAAACTAACACCGTATCTCATAGTGGTCAGTGCTACAAGCAGATACACGTGTCTTTGTTGACGGCTGATGTAGGTTCCTTCAGATACAAACCCAGAAGTGGCTTTTGGCTTCAACAAACCATTTGTTGAAGAGGCTGTCTTCGTCCACATGTGTTGAGCACCTCTGTCAAAAATCAGATCTCAGTGCTGGCCCGATAGCTCAGCATGTAAAAGTGCTTGCTACACAAACGAGGTGACCTAAGATCAGAACTCCTCTACAGGTGAAAGAAGACAACCAACTTGACAAAGTTATCTTCTGATCTTCATACACAGAGAGACAGAAAGAGATTTAATCAGATGGTTAAATGAGCAAGCCAAGCAAGTTGTTTGAGGTTTATTTCTGGGTCCTCCATTCTATTCTACTAGTCTATGAGTCTTGTTTGTGCCACTACTATGCTGGCCTCACTGCTATGGCCTTATAGTAGAATTTAAAATTAATGATACAAATAGCATTGCTGTTTCTGCTCAGGATCTTTTATGATATTATATGAATTTTAGGATACATTTTCTATTTTGTGAAGAATGCCCTTGGAATTTTGATGAGAATTACATTAAATCTGTCAGCCATTTTGGCAATAGAACCATATTAAAAAATTTTAACTGAAAATTTGTTAGAATGCACACAGTGAAGAGAATCATGGGCTGGACTAGCAAGACTAGCACCTCTCATTGGCTTCTGCCAGTTCCTATTTCCAGGTTTCTGACCTGTGCTTGAGTTCCTGTCCTGCCTCTTTACAAAGCTGCCATGTCCTTTCTGTCTTCTATACTCCAAAGTGATCAACTGCTCTGTCTGAAGTGTGAGTTCTTCATTCATAAAATGGGAGAATAGCTACATCTGAGGCTCATATGGGTCAGAATCCAAACATATCAACATGCTTTGACCCTTGAAACCCTTGGAATCTTCCCAGACAGGCCTTTCCTCATTCTCTTCAGGGAAGACTGTAGGGAATACAGATAATGTCTCTGCCCCAACATTGACTGGAAGGATTCCTCTATCTGGAAGCAGTCTGCTGAGGGAGAGAAACCCAAGCTTCCAGAACCTCAGGTCCACTGCACCCTAAATGAGACAGTTCCACAGATCAATTCATACTTGGCTGCTAGTCCCCCTCAAAGCCATGACCATAACTAGCATTGCTGCTCAAGACCCAAGAACCTCACCTTACTACCTCTACCCTGAAAAGAGTGGGGGAATCTGAACTCCCAAGGGTGCTTCCCTAGACATACTTCCTAGGTTCATTGAAGTGGATGCCAGGCTCCCATCACCAGTTATACTTGGGGTGAGGGGCTACAGGATGTGCACCGTGGCAGCTGGTCCTTTGGCTCAGGACCTAATAACATAGGGGACCCACAAAATCCATACCAGCCTACTACTATTAAGTCCCTTATGGGGACCAGAGGGAAGGCCTTTCACCAGAGAGACAAGGCACCAGGCCTGCTCCTCAGCAGCTGACCCACATGGGCTGCTAGGTGTGAACTGTCCCTGCTTGACATGCCTCAAGTGCCTTGCATTTCACATCTGTGCACGGAACTGTGTATGTGCCTAACCCAAGTTCACATTGGGGTACTTTTACACTGTTCAATGTTACGAGCCTCCTAAACCGACAGTATGTTTGTCTCCCAGTCCTGCAGGACCTGCCAGGTTGTCTCTATTGACATGCCATCTCTAACACTTGCTGGCCTGAGCTTGCTATGTACAGGCCGTTCTGGAATTTGTGATCCACTTGCTTCCTCCTCAATGCTGGAGTTACAGGCATGCTCCACCACACCCAGCCTTTGTCACTACTCAGCATGTTCCTTCTAGAGAACTGAATCTGTCCTCCACTAAGGCTTCCAGGTACTGAGAAGGGCTTGTCTCTGACCCCAATGCCAAGTGTGATTTTTTTTTTTAAATGACAAGCATGCTACCTCGCTTTGCTCACTCCTGGAGTCCTGATTCTCTTTGTCGTCTTAGGTGGGTCACAAAACACGGTGACTTGTACGTTTGCCTTTTCTTGAAGTTTCCTTTGGCAAAAACCTGCCATCGTATAATTAGCTTTTGCAGAGATAAGTCATGGTGGCCACACAGTGAGGAAGTAAGGCTTCCCTTGAACTTGGAGTGGATCCTATAGCTCCAGGCAAGCCTGCAGATGTGTTCAGCCTTAGTCTCACATCTTGACCTTATGTTCTGAAAGACCCTAAATCAAAACCACAAATGCCTTGCTCCCAGTTCCCAACCTGAGGAAGCTGTGAGACAATGTTGGTTGCTATGTAGATGATGCGAGCCTAATGCCTGCACGTCTTGCCACAAAGACGCCAAAGTTTTTAACAGAACAACTACATCTAAAGTGACCACGTGCTCAGTAAGCTCCAAACTGAGGTGACTTGCCTGACCACCCAGCACACTTACCAGTATTACTGTCGGCACCAGGTTCTCGGTACCTTGGTCTTTTGTCTTCTGGCATGTCACTGTGTGACTACAAGCTGACTTGAGCAGTTAGAAGCCGCCGCACATTGGCCCTGTGGCTGGAATGGGATACATCTCTTTGTATTTTCTGCGCACCACACCGGGAAGACGTCGGCAGACACCAGGCTACATTGTGTGTGAGCCCAGGTGCTTTTATTGTAGCTTCACTGTAGTACCTGAGGCAGTTCTGAGGATTGAGAAATTGGATGCAAAGCAGGTAACTGGCCCTTGGCTCTGTGTGAGGGTGGTGAAGTGAAGTTTTTAGGGACTAGGTTAAGGCACCTTGTTTGAGACCTAGTGTCTCACTAGGATCTGAGGCTTGTTGGGTTAGACTAAGCTGAGCTAGCATCCAGCTAAGGGTTCCCAATCTGTGTCTCTCCAACACTGGGATTGTAAGAACATTGTGGTGGTTTGAATGAAAATGACCTCCATAGGCCCATCAAGACTGGCACTATTAAGAGGTGTGGCCTTGTTGGAGAAAGTATGTCACTTTGAGATTTCAGATGCTCAAGCCAGGCCCCCTTGTCTCACTCTCCTCCTGCTGCCTGTAGATATAGATGCAGACTTCTCAGCACCATGACTGCCTTCCAGGCCACCATTCCCACCACGGTGATAATGGACTAAACCTCTGAACTGTAAGCTCAATTAAGTATTTTCCTTTATAAGAGTGGCCATGGTCATGGCATCTCTTCACAGCAAACATGCCATCATGTTCAGCTGTCTGTGTGGGCATTAGAGATGGAACCTGGATTCTCACACTTCTGCAACAAGCACTTACCACTGAAGCCATCTATCCCAAACTACTCGTACAATCTAGAGCTCAGGCACACCCTCCTTTCTAAACTTATGACCTCCGAGCTAGGAAGAAGTCAGACTCCCTAGATGACTTTAGCTACCAGAAAACAAAGAACTGAAACCAGTGTTATTCCAAGAGGATAGAAGCTGTATGGTGAGTCCCCAGCAAACATGATAGTCTACCAAAACTACACCCTTGGCTCGGTACTCCTTGTCTTCCCTGGAGCTATTATCTGTCCCTTCACAGAGGACACCTCAATTCTCCCTTCTCCAAGGCAGAGTTTACCTCTTGTTCCCCACCACTACCCTCTACCTAACCTGGGGAATCTGAAAGCTGGTTCTTTCTCTCTCTCTCTCTCTCCATCTCTGTATCTCCATGGGAATGCAATGACCATAAGAGAAGTGCTCAGCTGTGATAGGCGTTCAGAAGAGGATCTCCTGAGAAAGCCAGGGAACACTCCCTTGAAATACCAGGGCAGGCTGAAAGATTTCAGAAAGCAGCAAGAAAGGTTCAGGTTTTAAAGGGCCCCCAGACATCTATGGGCTTGCAAAAAAGTTTTGTTTCAGTCCTCCCACTGGAAGTTGAAGTGTCAAGCTGGTGTCAGTAAAGGACTCCCACATGATTCTGTGACATGAGCTGAAGTTCGCTGCATGAAACTCTGGCTTACAGGCTTTTGTTATTATTATTGAGACAGGTTCTTGTTTTATGGCCAGGCTGACTCCACAATCCTCTTGACTCTGCCTCTGAGTGTTGGAATTAAAGGTGTTCCACCACAGCCAGTTTGGGCTCAGATTTCAAGTGCCTCAGTTGTGAGGACTTTGTACCAAGAGCCAACTGTGTCCCCTTTTTTTTTTTCCTTTTTCGAGACGGGGTTTGTCTGTGTCTTGGCTGTCCTGGACTCACTTTGTAGACCAGGTTGGCCTTGAACTGCCTGCTTTTGCCTCCCAGAGTACTGGGATTACAGATGTGTGCCACCATGCCTGGCTCACACCCCTCTTCATCTGTCCACTTATTTCTAGTCCATTTGGTATCTTAGGATCCAAGCCCAGAGATGGAGATGGGCCAGGAGGGGAAAGAAAGTCCCTGAGGGACTGGCTGAGGGAGCAAGGCTACATACTTGGGAGAAAAAAAAAGAAAGAAAGAAAGAAAGAAAGAAAGAAAGAAAGAAAGAAAGAAA